CTCTCCTCTCCTCTCCTCTCCTCTCCTCTCCGGACAGAGCAGGACCTTCTGTGCCATCACTGCTCTCTTCCTCACATTACCCTGACCAAAAACAGCATCAGGGGAGGGTGTTCCTCCCTCCGTCCCTCCGTGACCCCCGGGATGGAGCGGCGATTCCAGCTGCGGGCTGGTTTGTGACAGGGCACTTCAGCAGGAGCGCATCCTCCTCGGGGTACGGGCTGTGCTTACACAGCACAGCTCACAGCCAGCACAGCTCCGTGCTCGGGCACATCCCGGGGATGTCACCCACCCTGCCGGGGTCCCGCTGGCTCCGGACTGCAGATCCCACCTGCCTTTCTGCCTTTCTTCACCCAGCCCGATGTGTCCCTTCATCCCTTCTCTCATCCCAGCCCGATGTGTCCCTTCATCCCTTCTCTCATCCCAGCCCGATGTGTCCCCTCATCCCTTCTCTCATCCCAGCCCGATGTGTCCTCACATCCCTTTGTAGCCGTGGAAAGGGGTTTTAACCCCTTAGGTGCGGCAGAAATAAGATGCACAGCTACCTGGTCATCTTTCGTGATAGGAAAGAGACAAGTTTATTTAGAAACACACTTGGTTTTATAGTATGACTTGTAATTCTAAGAGTAGAAAAAAGATGATTGGTTTAGAGAGGAGACACCCCGTTCCCAGGGTTTGGTTACCCACTATAACAGGTGTTCTATTTTGGTTATTAAATTTCTTTTTATTTTGATCAAGTTATTACTCTGAGAGAAATTTTTCCTAGCCTTTAGCTGGATCAGCTTATCGGCTGGGAACAGAGCTGAGAAGCTCCGGCCTGGAATATTTTTTAGACTGTAATTTTCTTGCTTTCTCAATATGTGTGCCTACATCCCTTCACCCAGCCCGATGTGTCCCTGCATCCCTTCTCTCATCCCAGCCCGATGTGTCCCTGCATCCCTTCTCTCATCCCAGCCCGATGTGTCCCCTCACCCCTCCTCTCATCCCACTGCAGGGTTTCCTGCTGGGCTGCAGGCTCAGAGCCCTCAGCTCCTCTGCAGGGGTACAGATGCTCCCTGACATGGGGACTCCCTGGCACAGGGTACCTCGTTTTCTTTCAGAGACCTGGCATTGAGTGATGCCCTTGCACAGGCAGGACCCTCTTCTCTCTCCTTGCCTCTGCCCTGTGTCCTTGTGCATCCCAGGGAAGGAGAGTCCCTTGCCCACACAGACAGGCAGGTGTGTGACCAGCAGCAAGGAGCTCAGAGAGGTGCAGCCCAAACACCACTAACTCCCCAGCCAGGAATAGAACCTGGGCTCTGCCTCAGTCCCAGGACTCCTGTGGTGCTGAGGGTTCAGAAATCATCCTTCTCTACCAAGAGGTGTCTGATGCTTTGGCCACCTGCTTGCTGCAGGTGAGGAATTGTGTTTTACTGCTCACATCCCAGCCATTGAGGGGCAATCCTCAGCTGAGGTTTGGTCCCACCTGATCTTCAACATGAGGTGACCACTCATCCCATTTAGACACTGACATGTGTCAGACAGGGCAGAAAAGCCCTGTTTGCTCTTTCTCCTTCATGTCCCAGGGACACTGGGAGCCCTCACTTCCCATACAAGTTCTACTTCATTTGTGCCAGAGTAGGTTCATCTCCCAAATGTCTGCAGATTTTCTGTTCCTCAGAGATGCAAAGGACATTCCTAAAGGTACTTCACTGTCTGGGAGGCCCCAGGCATTGCCTCTCAGCAGCTGAGAAATGCTGGTAATACCTTGGTCTTCAGCAAAAATCCTCCTTAAGCACAGAATTGGAGGTCTTTCCTGTGAAATATTTCTAGTCCTCAGCATGGGATGTCTGCAGTTTCCTGGTGTTCAGACAAGCACCCAGTCCCTTCCCTGTTTTGAGTGACCTCACAGTGGGACCACTGGGACCTGCCACCCACACTCCTCCCAGCTCAGACTACCACTATTGGCACTCTATTATGGTCCTGACATCTCCTTCCTTTTTCTTTCTCTGTCCTGTAATAAAAACTCTAAACCCAAAGCAAATAGGGCAGCTTTGCACTGTGACCAAACCCACATCTCCTCCACTGAGTCTCTCCTCTGATTTTGTTTCCAAGTGACGAGGACGAGCTGAGGAAATCACTCTCAGAGCTGGTAGATGACAAATTCGGAGCCAGTGCGAAGAAAGTGACAAGGATTGTTGACAGCAGCAACCCCTTCCTGGACATCCCCCAAGCACTGAACGCAGTCACCTACAAGCACGGCGTGCTCACCCGGAAAACCCACGCAGACATGGATGGCAAGAGAAGTACGTGACCAGGGACAGGGACAGCGACAGGAGAGGTGCCCCAGGACAGTCCCCAAGCCTTGCCCTGGCTCTCCTGATAAAGGCATTTCCTCACCACATCCCAGGCAGCACAGGAGAGATCCCCATACGTGCTAGGATAGAGGAGAAGGAGGGTCTTTTGAGGCATTTGTAGGTATGAGTGTTTTCAGGAAGCCTCAGTCTTCTCACTGCCAAGGAATCTAACACAGACAGACCTGGCCTTCCATCCTGTTCATGGCTGTGATCCCAAATCCCAGTCTCTGAGCAGTGGGGGAAGGCTGGTTCCTCAGCATTTGTCCACTCCAGCCCTGACCAGGGGGATAGTCTGGCCTGCCAAGCCTTGCTCCTGTCCATATCCTGCCATGGGCTGGCTGGGCAACAGAACACCCTGGTTCTGTAGCCAGGTAGCTCTGCTACCAGCATATGGCACTACAGGAAAGGTAAAGGTATTTGGGAACTGTTAATGAGCAGAGATTAATTAAACCTTGTGTAATTCCTTTTGCTAATTGATATGATAGGCCCAGTCACTGCAGCTGATTAAAAACTCATAATTAGAAATTACCACCAAAGGCCTCCCTGGCTTCCAGCACCTTCCTAAAAGCCTGTGCTTGGAGGATCAGCTGTCTGGTGATGATGGGGATGGCTCCTCTCACCCCTTTCCAGCTTCTGCCAAGCTCTCTGTCCCCAAGCCCATCAGGATGGTAATGCTCCCTCCTCAGGGGAACAGAAATTGCCTTATCCAGCTGCTCAGTTCCATGCAGAGGAGCTCAAGGAATGTCTCTGCTCTCCAAGCATTAGGTCCAAGGAACACGAGCTTGGGTTTGGAGAAGCAGAGACTTCCTGCAGGTGTCCATGGTGCCCCTGTACCAGCTCATGTCTGGCTCTGACCTGCTTGTGTTCCTGCTGGGAGGCTGCAGAGCCTAGCCACTGTCCCTCCAACTCCTGTCCCTGCTCACAAACCACTCCTGAGCAATAGCCTGGAGGTGTGGGAGCTCTGGGCATCAATGAGTGCCTGTGGTGGGTCAGGAGAAGGGCTGGGTTTGCCTGGAAGATCAAGCAGCACTGGCAGACGTACAATTAAATATTCTTCCTTTTTTAGCTCCCAGAGGAAGAAGAGGTTGGAAGAAATTTTATGCTGTGCTTAAAGGGACCGTCCTTTATTTACAAAAGGTAACCATGGGGGACTCTCCCCTTTGCTGTCTCCAAAGCTGTCACACACCCCAGCAGAGGTGAATCCATGTCCTACCTCAGGCAAGGACATGGACAGAGCTCCTCCAGAGCTGAGGATGCTCTCACCTTTGGTGGTGGTGCTCATGCTAAGAGCACTGTTCACAAACGCCAAAGGGAACCCTGAAGGAAGAAGCACGAAAGAGGAAACAGAGATTTCTGCAGAAGGATCCCAGCAAGCAGGAGCTATTGGGGAGGATGAGTGAACAGATGATATGGAATGGGTGATATGGAATGGGTGAAATAGGATGTTGGTGAGAAATGAAATAGGAAGGTGAAGAGGTGGAGCATCTGGCCAGTCTTATCCTGCCCATAGTTTTATTTGCTGGCATAGATCTGATTATGCACAGCTTTATTGAGTCTGGTATAGGAAGCCAGCTGATGTAATGCTTTTGGGTTTCACTGAAGCTTTTGATACTGTCTCTCACAGGATCCTTCTGGACAGAATGTCCAGCACACAGCTGGATAAACACATCATGTGGTGGGTGAGCACCGGGCTCATGGGCTGGGCACAAAGGGTGACAGTGACTGGGGTGACATCAGACTGGTGACCTGTCACTACTGGGGTTCCACAGGGCTCCATCCTCCACCCTGGGCTCTAAAACATCTTCATAAAGTGCTTGGACACAGGACTCAAGGGAATACTGTGAGTTTGCAGACGATACTAAACTAAGAGGAGCTGCTGACTCCCTCAAAGGCAGAGGCCCTGCAGAGAGAGCCTGACAAATGAGAGTCCTGGGCAATCATCAACTGCATGAAGTTTAGGAAAGGCAGTGCTGGATTCTGCACCTGGGATGGGCAATCCTGGATGCACAAACAGAGGGAATGAGAGGCTGGAGAGCAGCTGGGGAAGGGGACCTGGGAGTCCTGGTTGATGGCCAGTGGAATATGATTTAGCAGTGCCCTGGCAGCCAGGAGGGACATCTGTGCCCTGGGGACATCAGGCCCAGGTTTGGATAAGGCTCTCAGACACAGAGTAGGGTTGTTGGGGTGTCCTGTGCAGGGCCAGGAGTTAGAGCTGATGGTCTTTGTGGGTCCCTCCCAGCTCAGATTCTGTGATTCCATGGTTCCATGCTGAAGATGTGTATTCTTCAGGACCTTGATGACCCGAGTCCTTCCTTGGGCTGTCAAGTGACACTTTGTGCCTCTCTTCATTTCTGTTCATTGTGTAGCCACCTCCAGTCGACACAAGTGTAATTCCCAGGTCCTCGTGGGACACAAAGTCACCATGGAACAGCTTCCCTGAATGCTGTAGCATTCACCTCTCTGGCACTTGGATGCTTGGAGGATTTGCTGGGAAGTCTTTTCTGAGGGAAAATCCAAGGAAGCTGGATAGGGGCTCACTTGAGTGTCAGTGTGAGCCAGCCCAGGATGCTAAATGTCTGTTCATCATCATAACCCACTGAACTAGGTCTGAACTACCTGAGCAGCACATTCTGTGCAGTAACCCATTGAACTCACCTTGCTGGAGCAGCACTCCCCGTGGGTCGATGCTCCTGAGCATTATCTCCACAGCAATGAGAGTAAACAAACATTGGATTATATAAGAGAGGCAGAAAGATCCTCGGGGCAGCAGGGAGTTATGACTCAGAGCTCGTAGCACACCCCCGTGGCTCTCGTGTTTCGCCAGGTCCTGTGGCACACATCAAGAGCCAGCAGAAATCTGGCAGCAGTGGATCCCAACTCCCAGTGTGGGTTGCTCTTAGCCCAGTGGTGTTTTTACAGCTGTGCCACTCTCCCCTGCAGCTTAGGGAAGCTGCAGCACAAAGAGGAGCCCAGATCTCCTCCAGCCCTCTTAAGTGTGGAGTTCTTCAAGCCAGCAGAACTCTTCTCACCCCTCCAGTCCTCGTCTCATTACACATCTTCACTTGGAGCCCACCAGAGTCCTCATGCTGACCCATACATGAGGATTTAACTTGTACAGAGTTCATCAACATTTAATTGTATGACACTTTTTGTGTGGGGAGAAGAAAAAAAGGCATTTTAACTATCACAGAACCATTTGGATCTAAATGAATTTTCCACCAAGGACTTCTCTTGGGATGAGTCTGTTGAGAGGGTATATATTGAGAATGAAATACACCTTCAGGATGGGATTTTCTTCCCTGGCAGCAGAAGGAGCTGTGAAGCCAACACTGATGTCACTGCTGCTGCTGGGGCACAGGGGTTGGGGGTTCTTCACTGTGCAAGGCTTGCAGCAGTAACCACTCATTAACAAAGTTCATTATGTTTGCCTGAGGTGTTCAGGATTTAAAAAGAGAGCAAGGATGAGGCTGACATGGCAGTGAGGAGATCAATGCTCTTATCTCAATGACCTTCAGGATCAAATTGTTCAGAGATTGAGGGCTTTCTTTATGGACAAGGATGAAGGAGAAAAACACCCAAGATGTGGCTGCATTATGAAAGTGTCTGATAAATAAGAGCCATGACTGATGTGTAATTAGAGGGAGGGACCAGAACTGCCAAGGGTGCCCCAAGGAAGTAGCATTTGGAACAACAACAAAAATAAACCGAAGGAATGTTTGGGCAAAGGATTTGGGGAAAGAGGGGTTTCTTACTCGTGAGTGCTGCCAGGCTGTGTTGCAGTCCTCTCCAGGGAATTCCTTGGGCTTGGCTGTAGACAGTGTCTATCAGGCTTGCAGAGACAGGACAGAAGGATGAGAACAAAGTCCTTGCCCTGTCATTTGCAAACATTCCCAGCACCACAACAGAGAGTGGATAAACATCCACCTGCCCTGTGGATCCTTGGTGTCGTTTCTTGCCTGTGGGGTGGTTTGCAGAACAAGGGAATTGCACAATACAGGAAGGAAGTGGTGTGCCAGCCTCCCAAGCTCTCAGCAGAAGACAACTGCAGATAAACAGAAGGTAGAACCTTGGCTGAGCAGAAATCACTGGGGAAAGATTTTCTGATGGGAAGATAGAAAGTACCTGCTTCCAGAACCACCTGATGTCATGGAGCACAGGTTCAGCCTGTCCACTTTTCTGCTCAGGATCTAGGCTTTAATAGTAAATTCACAGAAGTTGAACTCTATTTGGTTTTGAGGAGCAAGATGAGTACAAATAAGACTGAGAGGTAGAGGGAAGGTGGGAGGAAGGAGAGGCTGGGTAGGTGGATGTGTAGAAAGGAGGAATGGCCAGACACAGAGAGAGGTGGACATAACACAGGCAGAAGGGTGGGTGGGCAGGCAGAAGTCAGTCTGACAGAAGCACTTCAGGCAGCAGCCATAAAGCTGCTGAAGAGGAGATGTCACATGTCATTGGCTCGCTGGTGTTAATTGCTGGATCAGCATGTTCCAGCACAGTCTGCTGAAGCAATTGCTTGATCCCCTAAAGGGATGCACCAGAGTCTGGAGGAAGAAATGCAGGCTGGGGAGCAGGGCACACCTCTCCTGTGCACTAATCTGCTCTGGGCACTGACTCACTCCATGGCCTTTGGCAACTTACTTCACCTCTGTGAAATGGGGATAATAACCCTTAATCACCACGCATAGAGGGGGTTAAGAAAAATGATGGAGAGCTATAAAGCATGAGGTGCTTTTATACAGAAGTGCTTGAAAGGGTGCAGGTCTTCCCACAGGTTTGTTCCCAACCAGAAGGGGGTTCCCAGCACAGCCCTGAGCCTGTCCCATGCAGGCAGACCCTTTCCAAGAACTCTGGGGAAGGCCAAGATCTTGCCTAGACTGAAAAGGGCACAGGGGTTCATGTCCCTAATTAAATGGTGTGTTTAGGATGGTAGATGTGAGGTGGAGAAAAGAAAGAAGAGGAAAAGCCACTCACAAGAGCATGAGGAATATGTGTTGGTCCATGTCCATATTGCCAGCACTGCCCAGGGCTGGTTCTGAGGGATGAGGAGAGGGCAGCAGAACTGGGCTCACCCCATCCAGGTGCCCTACAAAAGTAGGCATGAGAGCTAGATGCCTTTTCTTGGCAAAACAAGCTTTGAGATTAGTTGTGGATCTGCTCACAGGGGTAGGCAGCAGGGGACAGTGACCCAAAGGCACCAGGATCTCCCAGCATTGTCAGCCAAACATGCCATGGTGACCACCTGGCACTGGGATGAGCCTCCTGGAGGAGCCATCCCAAGCTGGAGCCTCCAGCACAGTTCACTCCTGCAAAGGCAGAAGCAGGGAGAAACTGCTTCCTTCAGCCTCTCACTGATTTACTGGGCCCAGCATTAGAAAAAGAAGATTGGATTTTTTTCTTACACCAACATGGATGCCTGAGAACCTGAAATCCATGGAGGCAATACTTGATGATTCCATTCAAGATGAGGATCTGCATTAGTCAAAGCACTCAGCAGCTGTGGCAGCTCCCTCTTGTCACACGCCATTAAGCTGGGCTATTTTACACTGTATTTTCAGAAAGCTTATTTTGAAATAAGAGATTATGGGCAGCACAGTCAGATTTATTCAAATCCAGAGAGCTTCAGCCTTGGAAAAATATCCCAAATTGAAGTCTCTGTACAACACATAAGGCCCAAGCAGCAATATCTTCCTCAAGGAACTATTTCTCTTCCAGTGGGGTAAAACATTAGGTCTTCACAAGGCAAAGCATTTGTTTTCCTTTGCACAAAAGGCTGATGGCCCATCCCTTTGGCTACTGACATCACCACCATGGTAAGGTCACCTGTACTGCCCACCTGAGTGTCTCCCCAAACACAGGATGCCTGCAGCACCCAACCTTCCTCTGCTGGGCTTTTCTTAGGGATTCACCATCCCCAGGAAGCTGTGCCAGACATTTGTGGGTAGTCTTTTTGGCTTTTTTTTTTTTTTGTACCAGGCCAAGTTTCATATGATGATGAGCACAGTATGGCAACCACTCTCCTGGACAGGGTGACTGCCTCAAAAAATGAGAGAAGAAAGACTTCAGAAGCTCATTTCCCATCAGTAGCAAGAGTAGGGTGAGCCACATCCACTGGGGATGGGGAGTGCTGGTCCTCAGTGCTCTGAAGAGCAGCAGAGGGGAAACCTTTCTGACCCTACACCAGAGAACAGCCTCTCTGACCAGAGTTACCATCCCAGAGGCTGCAGCACAGCTTTTCCCTCAACAGCTGCATTTGTACCACTGGGACACGGGAAACAGAAAACAATATTTTTGCAGATTTGCAGAACAGTTCTGGCTTGGAACATACAGACCATCATCACCAGACAGACCTGCTGTACTGGTTTGAAAGCAAAACCAGTGTGAGACTCCAAGTCAGAAATACAATTTAATAGGGGAAAAAAAAGAAAAATAAAATACATGCAATAGTACAAAAGAAAAACCACTGCCAGAGTCAGAATACAACCTGACACCCCAGTAGGTAGGGTGGTGGTGGCAGTCCAGATGAAGTGTTCTTGTTGAAGGAGGGATCCTGGAGAAAGCTCTGGGAGCTCTTGGCCTCTGGGATCCAGTGGGAAAAGGCTGCTCTGCTGTTCCAAATCTCCCCTTTGATCTGGGTAGGAAATGCTCGGCTCCTGCCCTGGCTGGAGCATCTCCCAATGGGATGATGGAATTTGATCAGCCCTG